TAGACTATGTGTTAATCCAAGCTAGACAAGGGCAGTAAAACATCCACGGATGCAGAAGATTTCTCTCAAAACAGGGGGGGTGAGGTTCTAAGCCTCACCTCTGTTGATCCCCAATTTCTCACCTGATGGCCCCCCTGCGACTGTGCCTGTCTTAGGTTGTTCCTCCCTTGAGGAATCTTACCCGTCTCTGGCTAACCAGTCATCTTCCGGGGCCAGACAGGGAAATGTAAAGTTGGTAAGTGAGAGAGAAGCAATATTGTTTGAAGAGGTTAGCTTTTTACTTCTTTGCAGATTTATGCCCTGTGGGTTTTATGCCCTATTTTTATACCTTTTTTTTATAAACAGATTTTAAAAACTTGGAGAGAAATACAAAGATAATTTAAAAAGGAAATAATATTAATAACTATGACATACAATTATATTACTTACTCTCCCATGCACTGTACTGAGCCTTACATGCACTGTCTCACATGATCATGACACCACTCTGTGAGGTAGGTACTGTGATTGTTGACATTTTACAATTGAGCATCAGTCTGAGGATAGGAGAGATTAAGTACCTTGCTCCAGGTACAGAGCAAATAACTATTGGAATCGAAATCCCTGCAAGCTGACTCTAGAACTTACACTCAAAGGCCACTACACTGTGAGTATCCAATTAGTCACTAAACACTTTTGTTAACATGAACCAGTAATAATATAAATTAATAATAAATAACCATTTTTTAATCATATGTCATCATCATCATCATTTCTCTAGCCCTTATAAATGTGCTATATGCCAGGTACTGCTCTAGTGGTTTGATGTACATCATATTGTTGCACGGCTCTAAACATGTCTACAAAGAGGTATTCTCCCATCTCCATGTGACTTGCCCAAGGTATCATAGCTGATAATGGCAAAGCTAGGATTTAAACCCAGGTGTGCCTAAGTATTTAGACTACACATTCTTACGATACTGATGAATTTCTTTTTAATTTCAAATGTGCGATTTTCTTGTAGACCTCAGGGACTTTGCACATGTTCTACTGTCATCTTTGGAAGCCTTTTAAAGCCTTTTCCTGCTTTCTCTACTTGGAGAAGTCCAACCATGCTTCAAAGCTCAGGACAAGAGATCCTCCTGCAGCAAAGCCTCCTGCAGCACATCCTCCAATCCTACAAGCCAGGCCAGGCAGAAATTTTCTCTTTATTTCCTATTTCTGTCTTTGCTACTCTCCTATCACTCAACCTCTGATGTTGCCAATTTTGAGTTTCTTATTGAGTGGGGATTGTTTATTTTGATATTGTCTTGATATAGTTAGACTCTAGATTAGAACCAGGCATATAAAAAAGTGCAATAAAAATGGTTGAAAGAATGATGAAAAGAGTGTGCCACAGTTTGCACACTTCCAGTGATGGGGATCTTACTCTATTATGATGAAGCCTACATAGTGATCATGTTCATTATAAAACAATTCAGCGTGTGATCAAGATGCAATGAAGACATGATAACTTTATACTAGTAGGAGTCATGTATTCTCAACTAGAACCAAACACCTGATCTCTGGGCACTGATTCTAAAGAGCCTTTGTTGAACCACTACTTTTTTGTTTTCCTGCTGGAGAGATTTTGCAGGTTTTTATGAATCATGTTGCAGATGAACATTTTAGCTATACGTGAACATGACATTATTAACAAATCAGAAGTAACATTTTTGAATACTACCTTGAATGTTTTGTTAAAATAAAAAGTCACATGAAAACTGTTTTTTTAAAATGTTGGGACTGGAATAAATGTTCCTGGTGATTTAGGGTGCTTTTTAATATTCAGAACTGTTTTTAAATTTGGAATTTTACTTTAATCCAAGGAGAGTATTCTTTTTAAAGTACAAAATTAAGAAGTAAATAAATCAAAGTGTTTTAAAACAAATAGAATGCAATAAAATTTGATGTGTTTAAGGGCACTACAGGCTGAGATTAGAAAGCTATTAGGTTTCTTCTCCTATAGACCTCAGAGATAAACTAACACAAACAATTTACTTCCTTGACTTCTAAAGATTATTTGCTGGTAAAATGGATTGATATCCTTTCACATAAACACACTTGTGGTTTAGACCACACTGACATTTTTGCCCTCCACTTTGAATAACACTGGCCAGTTTTTGTTCCAAGATTATCCTTAGTTAATGATGATCTCAGATGATTTTTGGTCTAGATTTAACACTTTTAATACTGAAAAGGAATGAGCACTTGGTCTCCTACAGATGCTAACACCATTGCCACGATGTCAACTCATCTCTCTTTGGCCTTTGGTTGGCCTCTTCATATCTAATTGGATGGTTGGATTTTTCTTAAAAACCAGCAAAAGGATTTGTTAGCTTCTAGATAAAAGGGTTCTAATGAAAAATGTTCCAATATCTCAGCTTACGTATCCCATTCTGTCTTTCAAGGCTTTGTTTAAAAGTCTCATCTGTTATTTGTTAGTTTTTATCCATGTAGTCTTCACAGTTCTGCAGACCAGCTAGAACATGGGCATTGTGTTTAGGCCTGGTTTGAATCTTGGTTCTGTCCTTCACTACCTGTGTGGCTTTGGGCAATTCATCTGACTTCTCTGAGTCTCAGTTTCCTCATCCATAATAGAGAAGAAATACCTGACTCGCAGTGTTGTTGGTTGTTGTGAGTGTAAATGAGAAAACATAAAAAAAGCACCCAATAATGGGTTTATAACATGGAGGGCAATCAATCAACATGTTAGCTAATTAAGTCTGTCATGAAAGTTTATCTTTCATTTAAATATTTAGTTTTTTTGACCAAAAAAGTGAATTTACTAGACTACAGCTTGGCACATTTTTTAAATACCCAAGCTCAATGAAATCGAGTTTATAGTAGTGTAAAAAGCAAAAATAGTATTCTAGCACAATTTCCTAAAGTATAAATTGAGACTATTACTTGATAGGAAGTTTCAAATGCTCACATCAATGTGAGAAACACTGGACTAAAAGATTTATTTACTGTAGACTACTCAGCACCTTAAAATGCAAATATGTCCCTGAATGCCCCAGGTGTATATGATATTCAGCAGTGACTACAGTCGTCCATTTTCTCAAGTGATTAGCATTCCCTGAACACACTTTGGGAAGCTGTTCTAATACAAACCTCAAACGAATTGGAAATTTTCATGACATTTTTTTCAAACAGCCCATTTCATTGATATTCATAAACATCTAATATAAAGAGGAATGTGTAGGTTTATTTATGTAACATTTAATTATGTACTATTTGTAGATTTCAATACTTTTTTCTGATTTATGACTTCATAAAATAATTATTTGCACTGTGATATTTATTATAAGAAGTTACCGTATGTATACTTTAACTGCAATGGCATAAAATAAATTTATTGTCCACATATTCTGAATGGGAAGTTTCTAAATTTGGGAACAAAGAAAGAAAGCACAAGAAGAAAACAACTCCTGTTCTTTCATAAGCAAGCTACAGATCATTATGAACCCTTTCTTTTTCTTGCTATAAACAATTTTCCATATTATTCTTCAAGTAAGATGCATGTATAGACCTGGTAAAGCTGATTCAAAAGCTGTATTATGGCAATATTTTAATAAGAAAATGTGGGAAAGGATATTCATATGGTAGGTGTATAGGAAATTGCCATTGCTAAAATCTTTAATTATGTTGTCATTTATTTACATTGTAGTTCTTTTTAAATAGAAAGAAAAAATTGTGTGAAATTCAAAGAAAAAATATTCAAAGAAAAATATCTGTATTAAAAAAATAGTATTCATAGATTTGTTGCACTGAAAAGACATGGAAGAGTAAAGTCAAAAGAGAAATCATGTAAATGTATTCGTCTTTTTGTGTTTTCAGATTTCCCACTCTGTGTAGGTTATAATGCTAAATTTCACTACCCTGGTAATTTCCTGCCTAATTTGTCTTAGTTACTATGTGATAAGTTGCTGAGTGCTAATTGGGGTGCTTGCCATTAGTTCTCTTTAAAATTCAATTAGACGGAAATCAATAAGTGCTTCTGGTTTTCTCTTACATTTGTTCCAGCCACCATAGGGTTCCCAAGGTCACACACCACCATTCTGGTTACATTTTCCATCTTGTACTCACAGCTCAGTGGTCGCAGTCCCTGCAACAGGAAAGAACACCAGCGTGGAGTTCAGGGGGCAGAATAAATTACATCCTGTCACAAAAGCAGTGCTGAGGTTGGGAAGCCCCTCTTGATTTCAAACACCTGTGTGGATAACTCTGTCCAAGAATTAATTTGTGGCCATTAACTCAGAAGAGAAACTTGAGAGAAAAGTTGAAGTTCAACTTTAGAGGGAAACAGGTTGGACTGTTAAGCACATTTATTGTGTTTCACTGAGGAAGAAAGTGTTTAACATAGTATTTATATGAACATTTTAGAAATTATTTTCACTATTGTTAATGTTAACTTAAAGCCAGGAAGATCAGAGATACCTAATATGACTAAACGAATTTATTCTTGAAAAATGAAATGACAGTAATATGCATAGATTAACATATAACTCGACCATTTGCAAGAGAATTGCTTTGAACACAAATTTCTACACACCATGATCCCAATTTGAGATTACAAAATCAATTTTATTTCAGTTCTCTAAATACTTAAGGTGGGTAAGAGAACACTATTATGTTTACACAGGGCTTTCTGTTCTGATAATCTATTCTGATTAGAATGTACTAAAAACTCAAGTTTGGAGAGGTGCTTAGAACTATGTGATGGAGAAGGTCTCAGAGTTATACTGGACAAGAAGGGAAACAGGAGGCTTCGCTTTGGATGACTTCCCTTCTGCTCCAGCTCTTCTTCTCACCTTCGTGCTATTCCCGGCTGCCCAGAAATCCACATCTTGCTCTCCACCCTGAGCTTCTTTACTTATTTCAAAACCTATCATCCCTGTGGCCCTGCTCTGCCTTTGGTGATATCTCAGATGTTCATCCATTTTTCCACTCCAACTTAAGTGCAAATAATACATTACCTGTCACCCTTAATGACAAAGATAAGATTGCAGTGTGAGGACTTCCACAAAGGAGCAATCCTTGAGGTATTTTTGCCCCATGAGTGGTCCATTTACCCATTTGTCAGCTCTATTGCAATTTCATTTAAGAAAGTAATTTGAGTTTTCAAGTTAAAGTTTCAGAAAGCATCCTCCATTCCATTCTTTACACTTTATTGAGGAAAATCAAGATCCCAAACTAAAACAAAGAAAAGCCCAACAAACATCTCCATGAAGAATTTTGTAGGTAAACCATATGCTTTGAAAAAATAAGCTTCAGGGAGCAGAGGTTTTTGTATATATTCTATTCCCAGTGCCTAGAACAGGAAAAAAAAAAAAAAGCATTTTCAGGAAAAAAAAAAGCATTCAGGAAGAATTTTAAAAAATGCCCACATGTCCTTTGAATATAATTTAAGGATTTAGTTTCTATGGTAAATATTTTTATCTTATCTAAAGGTTAAAAGTTATATGTACTTTTTTCCACTTTTCTAAAAATAGCTTTTTCATATCAATCAAAAACATTTTCTCTTCTGAGATCCCCCCACCTCTTTTCTTTTTTTAACCTTTATTTCCTCTCTCTGAGTGAAACAATGACTGTTTTTCTAGATATTTTCAGATTATTTTCCTTAGCTGTTCCAGGGATACTCTTGTTCTAACCCATTCATAGCTCTTAGAATATTATTCATTCACTGAAAACATTTACTGTGTACCTGCTTTTCACCAAGCACTGATAGAAGACCCTTTGTCCTCATTGAATTTCCAATTATAACAATTGTAGCAAGTAACCACAAGCAATTGTAGCAAGCAACAGAAATGCAACTAGCACAGTTTAAGTTTTACGATAGGAGAAATTCAGAGTGACACATGTCCTTAAACACTGAAGCAACCAGAAAAGACGTCCTAAAGGAAGTGACATCTTAGCTGATGGGGACAATGCAGATGAGGCTTTAAGAACATGGAACTGGACCTGATAGCTGAGGTTTGAAGCTTGGTTCTACTATGTGTAGCTGTATAACTTGGCCTATTACTGAATTTCTCCACAACTATAATGGGGATAACAATAGACTTGCCATTTCTCTATAAGGCTGTTATGAGAGTTAAGTAAATTAAATGCACACAAGAGCTCAGAGCAGTGCCTGGCATTTAGCAATTGCTCAGTAAGTGTTTGCAGTCTCAGTCATTCTTAAGCTGAGGCCTGAAGGATGAATAGAAAGAAGTAATTTGGATAAAAGGAATGAGGAAGTAGAGTTAGTATGTTGGAGAGAAAGAACAGCAGGTACAGAGTGCACAGGTATTACAGAAACTGAAAAGAAATCCCATCACGCTGGAATGTAGGGGGCGGGGGAAAGGAAAGGATCAAAGACTAGTGATGAGGCTTATGAAGTAAGCAGGGGGCAGAATTCAAGGCTTCCTTAGTCATCCAAGGGGTATAGGCTTTAGCCTAAAAACAAGCCGGTTTTAAGCAAGAGAGGAATGTGATCAGATTTGCATTTTAGAAAGACAGCGCTCCCTGCAGAGAAGGGAAGGAGGCAAAGAGATGGGGAGATGAATTAGGAGACTGGTCCAGTAATCTTGGAAAAAGGTGGTGCCAGCCTTGATGAAGGCAGTGACAGCGGCAGTGGATGGAGAGAGGATATGGACCGGAGAGATGCAGGACCAGCTCGTTCTTTAGCAAACTGGAGGATACTGGGGCCATTCTCTGAGCTAGGAGATGGGGAGGGAGGGGAGGAGCATGAGGGTGGGAACACCAGAAGACCAGTTCTGGACATGCTGAAAGTGAGAAGGGTGCGAGCTAGAGGGTGGGGTGAAATATATGATGTCTCTAGAATAGCCAGATTCAGAGACAGAAGGTGCAACAGTGTTACTCCAGACTGGGGAAGGGGAGGGAGGCACCAGTGTTGAATGAGTACAGGGTTTCAGTTTGGGAGGATGAAAAGTTCTGTGGTGAACCGTGGCAATGGTTGCACAGCGATGTGAATGTACATAATGCCATTGCACTGCATACTTGGTTAAGATGGTAAAATTAATATTACATGTATTTTACTATAGTAATAATAATAAAAGATAAGACACATAGGCCTTTATTCTTAGGAAAATTTGGAAGAAAGGTTACTGAAGGAAGTATGAAGACTGGCTCAGATGAGGTTTCCAGAGAAAGAGATCATCAGCATTTACATTTTTGAAAAGGTGAATGTTTTCAACAAAAGAATAATAAAACTTATAACCAGACAATCTTAATACTTTCTCCTTGAGAGAAAATTGTACAAAAGAAAAAAAACTTGAACTGGTTTAAATAAAAAGGTACACAAACCTCAAACTGCTTAGAAACAAAGATGAAATTAAAATGCGGCTTAGTCATGTAAAATTCAAACACTGAGCTAAGTCTCTGCCCAAGGGAAATTGATTGGAAGAAAAACAGTTAAGAACTCATTTGAGATTATGGATAATGTCTATTGTATTATTTACAGCCAAAGATAGAAATGATAAATGGTTGCCTATATTTTCCATGCAATAAACTGAACAGTAAACTAAATGTTAAAGAACATTTCAGAATAGATGCTTTGTTTTACTAAGTCAGGAGTGGAGTGACACAAAGGGAATTGAAATAAAAATATAAGTGGAGCCCTGGAACATTTTTTAAACCACATACTTGAGCTTCATTTTTTTGTTTGTTTATGTTTTTTTTGTATGTAAATATTTACAGGTGATTTTTTTCTATACATTTCTTCAACAGAAATGTGTTATGATTTTATTACTGTCAAAGATACATGGTTACTACTCACCTGTTTTTTTCCACTAAGAAGATAATTTAACCAAAGCATAAATTATGCACCTATAGGTGTGAATAGAGAATTTTATATTCCTGTGTTTAAAAATGACTATAAAATACCAACATCACAACAGTCTGTTAAAATCTCTTTGGGGTATTGTTTTCCATTAAACTTTTTAATCATTAGAATGTTAAAACTCTTTAGAATATGGGGCATTTGGAAACAAGCAGACATTTAATAAATCTTGGTTAAATGAACAAATCCATCAGCAAGTCTTTCAGGAGCCTCCATTGTGCCTGGTTCTGTGTGAAGGGCAGTGATGGCTACAGGGACTGTTAAAGTTGTTCTTTGTTCTTAATTGTCAGTCTGTATATTTCTGAAAATGAGGGACTCTCTCCGTTATTCTGCAATGTATTTATAATGGTTTTTAAAACCAAGTGATTAAAAACACAGCAAAATCTGAGGATACTGTGAGTGGGAAGATTCATGTTCTGAAAAGGAAAGGAAAGGCTGTAAAAGGCATTGGCTAATAGATAGTGGCATTGCAGGGCTGGCAAATGACAAAGACCTGGCTTTTGGTCCCAGTCCCTAAAAGGTGGACCAAGAAGAAAGAAAATTGAACGTGTTTCCTTTCCAGTGCCTGTCTAGGCTATTATCAGTATTCAGCTGGGATTGGTCAGACCTTCCTCCATGAGCAATAATGAAAACCAGACCTCCTGGGACCTGCTTAAAACATAAAGGAACTCAAAACAAAGGTCTGAAAACATCCAGTAAGGGTGGAAGTTTGCTGGGGAATTTAGCTGATAAATCACATTGGTAAACTTTTTCTTTTGGCCAGTTTCTCTTCCTTGCTTCAGCTCTCAATCTTTGGCCAACTTATCTTTACACTATGGCCAGGGAAGATATTCATACTGCTAAAGATCAACCCCCCCTCCTAGCTCCTTACTATTATGATGAAGAAAGTAAGGTGCCAATTTGTTCTTTTATTGAGGAAGAAACTCTCAGCTAAGATGACCCCACTGAACACTGATTTGACTTCAAAAATACACCTCACCGTTTACCACTTCAAATAATTTCCAGGCATTACCTTGTTGCTGCGTTCAGTCCCAACATAATCCGCCTCTTCTGGTATTATCACAAAGAGTTCAGCTTCATAGGCTCCTTCACCTTCATTTCTTGCATTGATTATGAGCATAAGATGATTTTCATCTCCAATAATGACCTGATGCTTATCTCTAAAAATACAGTTTAAAGGCAATCATTAGGTACTATACTTCCTTTGGATTCATGGATGTTTTACTTAAGGACTTATCTGGGAGGGGAAAAAAGGAAGAGAAAAAAAAGATGGATCATCAAGTGGGAGTGGTAAGAAGAACCAACAAACCACATGGGAGGGGCAGGAAAAGATCCACTGGTGTGTGGTAAATATTTAACAAGTTCTCAAAAAAAAAGAAAGAAAGAAAGTAAAAGTACCCAATTGTAGCATTTGCTGATTCCAGTGGTGTAAATCCTCCCACTGTGGCCAATTTCAAGTCACCACATACTTAGCAATATGCCATCAAAAATTCCAAAAAATGTAGCAACTGACTCACAAGCTAGAATGAGGCAGCCCCAGCATATCACTGAAGGCATCCACGAGGAAGAAGATGAGCAGCAGGAAAGAAGGGGGAGACCTGGTTTAGAAACTAAGATGTGTATTGCAATGCGGACAGTGAGGGGGGAAAAAGAGACAGGTAAAATGAGACCTCAGATAGCTGATTGAAGTTTTTGAGGTATTCTGAGGAAACTTAATTCACTCCATATTTCAGTGAAAACATTCCCAATATTTGGAAATGCCTGTTTGATTTTTACCCTTAATCGAAGCTATTGCTGTGGGCTGAGTAAATTGTGAAGTTTGGAAAAAAGTCCACTCGAGAGGTTATCAAGCAAATTCCCAACAGTGGCAGTGAGATAGGCTCTGGGTGGTGATGGGGTGGCGGGGAGCATGAATCTGCTTTTTCCACCATAGGATATGTTACATCTCAGTCCCATTTTATCTGTGATGGAACATAGTGTGATCACCAGTGAAGGCCTGGTGATGACTCTCCACTACAGGCAGCTGGGGAGCCCTTTGACTCTCGTTGGATTTTGTGACACCTGTTTTACTCCATAGAATGCCATTAAGTTTTTCTTCCAGCAAATTAAAATTGATTTTGTTTTGGTAATTTTAAGGATGATTCGGAGTCACAAGGTGCTGCAAAGACTGGTTTGGCTAAAGTGCAGGTAGAAGAGCTTGTCTGAATTCTTTGCCCACAGGCCTAGGGCAAATAAATACAACCTGAACCACCCCATGGATGAGTTTACATTGAACAAAAACATTTTTCCCCATTTCTGCTGAAAGGTGAAACATCCCAGGCAAAACCTTAGGGTGTGTCACTTGACACCAGTGACAAAGAGCTGACCACACCACAGGCTAACCCAAAGAGTAGCCAAGCTCAGGAATTCCACGCAGTAGGTTTTTTGGTAATCATTGGAAGTGTGTACTTCTCCAGAGAAGCTTTAAATAAACACCTGTATTCCATTAGATAAAATGTACATGCTTATTTATTTAAACTTACGGTCTAGCTGACAGCTTCAAGTCAGGAATGCACATATTGTCTTCTCCACAGTCCACCAGGATGTGAGCCTGTGTTGTGCAAACATGCATCAGGAATAATCTTGGAAAACTTGAATCATATCCTTTTTCTTGGAAATTATGAACAATTCCACAAATTAAACCAAAGCTTTCATTTCACGATTCTACCCAGCTAGAAACCCTGTGTTAGGTAGTGACTGCCCAATATAGGCTAGTTTACATGACAGCCCAATTCCAATTCATTCTGAAATATCTGCAAAGAATGCTACATTGGCATTGTTTTGAGCATTACAGGCTGTAATGCTTCCACTACAGCCACATTTTGAACAAATTAAATCTTGGTTGCACAAGGGGAAGGGCTTCTGAAAACAAAATGATGCAGTATTTCAGGAAACATGTTAGGAAAATCTCCCAAATGTTACAAGTTTGTGTTTGGGAATGAAGACAAAAGGAGCTGGATGTTTTCTTAAGGTCACAGGAGCAATGCCCAGACCCTGATGAAAAATATACCATCAAGACCATCAAGGACCTACCTGTTCAGTAACAACAATTTCCTTGTAGTGGTTCAATATTGGTTTCACGTCCAGGCCTTCTTTAGAGGTGGATTCATCCAAACTGTAATTCAAACTAATGTTGATTGGGGATAATTTATCTCGGAATTCAGTTTCATCCTAGGGAAAATAATCACAAACTCAAGAAAGGCTCCGTGAAATAGCTGCAAGATGTTAGTCTGTGAAAGGCAGGCAACATTTGACTTTAGTTAATGAAAGTGAATGATGAAGTAATTACCACCACAGCAGGCTTTGGCGCATGCTGACTGGTACCGTATACAGTAGTCAGCTTAATTAATATACGTTCAGAGATGAAATCATTTAGGGCTGTGGCTTCACTGAGATATATATTTCTAGAGGTGATCTTCGTGTACTCTAGATCCACAAAACTCACACTGACTGGTCAAATTAAAAAGTAAAATATTATACTCATTATGCAACGAATGTCATTGGAAGTTTCATGAACTGGGATTTTTCTATTCACGAGGTTGGTAGCATTTATGAGTTCTTTAGGTTCAGAGGAAGAAAACATTTTGATTCTTTTCCTCTCTTATCTCTTGTATAAACTTCAAAACACCTTCAGTATATTAGAGGTTCCCTCAGAAAAAGAAAGAACTTTCCCCAGGGGAAGCGGGTAGCACCAGAAGCAAGCCCTGAGCACACCGAACACCCCTGGCCATGCTGTGGCATGCCACCCTTTGGTTGTATGCTGGCAAGGATCTTGTGCCCTGTTGTTTGTGAGCATTGCCTTCACCAGGTCTCTGCTCACTAAATCCATTAAAGGAGGAGGTGAAATGAGATAATGTGATAATAGCCTCACAATTGGTAAGAAGATGAAATTCTTGTGCTATAAATATTTTGACTTTTTTATTTAATGGAGGTTTTGGAGTTACTGTAAAAATACATTGCTTTAAGAATATTATTATAAATTACTTTTAATAAAGGCTTTGAATGTTTAAATATTTTCCTGAGCTGACTTTTAGATGCACATTAATAAAATTTGGCCAAACATACTCACATACGGAAAAAATTCAAATAAACTGTTTAACTTTTATGGGTTTTTTTTGGGGGGTGGAGGCATTTAAATATAAAAACCACCTGAATTAGTACTGTTATCAAGATAAAATGTACAAAATGAAGAGAAGCTTTGGGAGTTAATAGCCACACATCATTAGCCTAGCTGAAGTAAGGCTCAAGAGGGGAGTGTGTGACCTTAAAATAAAGTTTTCTCCCATAAATGAAAATCGATGTGGGTATGTGTGGCCAAGTATGATGCCTAAATGGAGAAAAATGGTTGGAATTTGGATTTGAATGTTAGAGATCAGAAAGAACACTTACTCGAAGGTAAACGATAAAATCCTGGCACTGGAGGGATTCCTGCCGCTTTATAGACAGAGGGAAGACGTGATGTGACTGATGGTTATCAAGGAAGAGAGTGCGTTTAATGGCTCCTTTTTGTTTGAGGTAATCTAACTGCACCTCGGCAGTCAGGCCTTAAAGGACAGAAACAAAGCAAATGTAATCAGGGAAGGAAAATTACTCAGTGAAAGCAGTGCTTTATCAGAGATACAAATTCCTATTTCAACTTGCTTATTCAGGAAACATTTTTTTCATAGTTGGAATAAAGAAAAATACATGAGTGAAAAAAATTTTATGCAATACTCCCCAAGCTAAAAACCTTGTTTTGTTAAGATATTTACATAGTCATTTTCCCCCATAATTTTATGTTTTTACAGGTAATATTAATGCCAATTACTCAACCAAGATTTATATGGAAGGTTCCATATATACAATAGAAATCTTGATGTTAATAAAGGTTTCCTTAAAATGTTTATATGGACTGTGGAGAGAAATGCTTACTTAGTATAATACAGAAGTGTAAAAATGAAAACATGCTCACCTATTGTATTTGAAATGCTCTGGCCTGCTACAGATGCACATACTCTTAAAGAAAAGCTATGGAAAATAATAGTCAATACTTTATTGGTTAATACAGTTTTGAATCTGAAACAGAAATCTTCCTTTACCTCACGCCAGATAAAATGAACACATCATTTTTCCTGTATACTTCTCTTATTGTACACACATACAACTACCTAAATAAATATGTACATATTTATTTATCTCTATATATATATTTATCAAAAACTATACTTATTTATATATATGTCTCACCAGTTGGCCACAACACTACAGTTAAGGCAGGGGACATTGTTACGTAGGAGATAATACATTAAAATATTACCAGAGTATATTCAATAATATTTAACTATATTTTATTAAGGTAATATTATTATAAAGTAATAGTAAAATAACACTAAAATTTAATAATAGTTAATAATCAATTATTTGCTATCTTTATTCAGTAAATACATATAAATATCTTCCATGTGCCAGGGACTGAGGAATTAGGTGTATAGCAGGGGAACGGCCAGTGGTTTAGCCTGGAGATGAGTAAGGATGTGATTCCATGTGAGGAATCTGAAGAAATTTGGTGTGGTTGGTGCATTAGAGCAAGACGGGGAAGCCATAGGAGGTGAGGCTGGCTGGGGTCAATCAGTAGGGAATAGGGCTTTGAAGGTCATGCTAAAAAATCTGGATTTAATTGTAAGAGGCATGGAGTGCCATAGTGTGATTGACCTACAGCCCCACTCTGCTTGGAAGGTGATGGGAACTTGGCAATACCTTGCTAGGGTGGGGTACAGTTTGGGGCAGAAGCATCAGAAGAGGGAAAGGAGAGAGAAAAATAAGGAGCTCAGGGTGGCTGTCTCCAGTTAGGTGGGCACAATGAAGACAATAGAAAGAGGGTAGATGTGTACAAGAGACTCTTTATAGAGTTTTGCCTGGATTGTGACCTAAACTCAGTCCAGAGAGGTTTGCATGGCTTGTAGAATGACGTGCACGTGGGACTCTTCTCTGGCCATGGAGGGAATGAGGAATGAGAAATGGCCAGTTATCTCTGCCTGGCTTTGCAGAATGTGCTCACAACTCTCCTGAGGAGCTTTAAGTCCTAAAAGCAAGCATTTGAGATGGGGCTTTTTAACATTTCTAAGAAAGTAAAAATATAAGAAAATACTTAAGTATGTCTTAAGGACAGTCTTAATGTTTTTACTAGTAAAATAATAGTGTGATTTGAGCATTTCTACAGCATCCAAAAGGAGTAAATAATCCCTAATCATACTTTAATTATGTGTCAGCTTCCTGTGTCACATATAATGAAGATGTGTCACATCTGGGATTCATCTATCTATTGTGACCTCAGTCAATGTCTCCCTTTAGGGTAAATAATTTGTTGCATGCCATTAAGCCAAAAGTTTCCCGAGATGTTTGTACCTCTTCCCCAGAGAAATCACAAATTCCAGCCCTTCTCCTTCAATTAGAATTACTTAAAGAAGATGAATAGTTAACCACATCTTTAAATTTTGTAGCAGGTCTGGCTTTCAAAGCTGGAATTTTTATATGTCTAACTTTTTCGGAAGTACTTGGTTATGTGTTAAAATCATGGACAAAGCTTATTAGCTTTTATAAGATAAATTCTTATTTGTAATGAAATTATCAATGTATATAAGTTAAAATAATTTCAGAAACACTATTCGTTTAACACAATTTACAACCTATAAAAATTTTAAGAAATAAAGCTGTAATATGAACATTATTTCATCTCTGTGAGAAGGTATTTGAAAAATGATGTTTGCTGATTTATGATTATATGAATCATGTCAGTGTTCTATATTTCTTTCTTAGTTTCCCTCTTCTGTTACCTTGATATCATTAACTAGATGAATTTAAATTTTTTCATGCAAATGTAAAATAACTGCTACAACTTACTGAATTATTGGTAACAGCACTCCATCCTAAACCTGCCAGTTTACAAATGTCTATAGCATAAAAGAATTGCTAAGTTATAACTTGCCAACGCACCTTGTTTCACTTTAAAAAGAAAAACTCAAAATTTTATAGTAATTGCCTGAAATGATCTTTCTGAATTTAGCAAAATATATATATTATATACAGACATGCACATATAGATACATCATATGTTTTATATACCAGAGAATGAGGCCCACTCATAGTTGTCAGAGAAAGCGGTGAGCTGTTATTACATTAGAGTTAAAATTTCAAACTAGAATTTATGGTCACATTCAATATGGTGCATTAGTCTGAATAGGTCTGATTGGAACAAAAAACACTGAATCGACCCAGATTCCCTCCTCACGTGAATTTTGAATGAAACTTTTTCTGCAGTGCTTCTGATATGTGAGAAGGTAGGAAAATACACTACAAATTCTCTGATATGTTAGTTGTCCTAACCTAGTGCACAGCTGGAATAATGATTCTGTGATGTAACAGTGCTCATGGCCATATATTATGAAGAAAGAATGAGATAAATGTAAAACAGGATTTAAAAGTACAAAGCAATTCATTTTTCAATCTAACTAATTCAATCCTATTTTAATGACAGCAAATATTAGATTTTACATGAAGTTAGGTATGACTGAAAAGTTTTTTTCAAACTGAAACACTTTCACTAAATAGTTTTATTTTTCTGATTGGTTAATACTGATTATAATATTTATCAAGCTGGCTTTATTATTTTTTAATTTAGAAATGCTGGTAGAAGTTACTTTATAAAACTACAGAGCTGTTTGAAAGACACAGAAATTCACATGGATGGAAATGAAGAACTATTACCCAGTTAAAGTTTACTTAATAGTTTTCAGATGCACAATACAAGGTTCGACCAAATACAGACAAAATTTACAGAAAAGAAAATTTAAAAATGCCTTTCAATCTCTTTGGAGAAACTGAGGTAAATTCTTAGAATAAAATTAAAAAGTATGAGAGAAACACATTCTAGGCTGAACCAGCAGTTAACTTGCCATCTTCTAATACTCTGTGTCACCATTCAAGATATTTGTATATTACATTGAAGTATCTTTCAGAGAATGTATGCAATAGAATAAAATAAATAATTGTAAAGACATACATTATACATTTGCCGACATAACAAATTACATTTTATATTAATAATATGATTTAATGCAACAAAGAAAATGATTCATGCAAAAGAAAATTTTCTTTTTGCAAAATAATTTTCTTTCCATAAAGACAAATATCTCATAATCTATTGAAACTACTTAAATATTATAAAAATACTAAGAAACCCTAAAATTTCTTAGGAAAAAGTATCTAGTTTGTAATAAAACTTCATACTAGAGTGTGCCACACAAATATGCTTAAAAGATTCAAACTAGCATCCATTCAGTTGTGAAAGTGGGAAATAGGGAATATTTAGGGAAATACTGAAGTTTTAATACTCATGCTCAAGTGTTCTCATAGTTCATTTCATTTAATCATGCCAGGGTAAAGAGAGATGCTGGCTCCTTTACATATTTTCTCAGATCAGGTTTTCATTATAATATTTTATGGCTTTAAACCATTTTAAAATGTGCTCAGGGCATTTCCCTGCTACTTTCAAAAGCTGGTGAAGGAGAGGGCATGCCTCCTTGAATCAGGAGCTCCCAGCAAACAATGTTTTTGAGTGAATTCTTCAGGGTCCTCCTCACCCTCCACCCTCTGCCACAAGGGCTTTGACTCTGGGGTGAACTCCTTTCAAAAGGCCATCAATAGCATGCTGCATACTGGCTGGAAATAACTTCTCTGGGTCAAGACTGGTTTGTTCTACATCCTAACATTCTCAGGAACCAAAAATACTGTCTGAGTTAGACCACATCTTCTGGAAAATGAGGGCAAGTCTCAGACGCTTCAAGTATTCGTTGATTTTTCAGAGGATACACCTTGCTGGCATTACCCAATATGACAGACTTTGACCCTCAAGGACCTACATATTGAGAAACAAAGTGGCATTTTCTCAGAAGCTGTGTTACAATCAAGTTCCATTTTGTAGTCCCTTTGGATGACTGGCAAGATTCAGAAGGAACACTCAGAAACTGTATAAAGCCATGTTCTCCTATGATCCAGGCAAAAGAACCATAATTCTACTTCTATTCCTGATGATGAGACCATGGCTATAAAAACAGAGTTTAAGGCACAAAAATCGCTGTTTTTATATGTCTACCTTCTGTCTAATTGTACATGCTAAGTTCCAAACTGACATCTGTTTTCAGCACAGGAGACTGAGAAATTTTACCTAAGCTTCACTATTTTTAAAAAAAGGACATTATATATTAAAAGTGGTATCCATAAGCATATGCAAATGCCAGAGGCAAGGCATTTTATTATATTTGCAGTTTGATTAATGTTTATTTTAGCATGCCAAGAATCTAAAAGGATCTTCAAGGTTTGCTTCATTGGGAATTTCACCAAATGTTTTTATGCTTCTTAACTCACTTGGAGCCTGCAGATTAGAGAAGTAGCCTTCATGTGACAAGTTGACAGCAAAGGTCAGCACCATGTCATAGATAGACCCTTTCTTTTTTTTATGAAAGACTAACTCCTTCCTACTCAAATCTGGTGCACAGACCTGCAGCCTCAGCCCCCAATGGGGGCCTTTTAAAAAATGCAGAGTCTCAGGCTCCACCCCAGGCATATGGACCCAGAAGCTCCATTTTCACGAGATCCCCAGTTGATTTGACTCCATATCAGGGTTTGAGAAGCACTGGACTAACTCACCAGGCCACAGGTGTCAAAGACTCTGAAATCTGACAGGTTTTATTTTCCAGATTGATAATCATTGGGTTCAGCAGGAGCTGGACATCCACGGTCACAACTGGCCTTGCTCTGTGCAGAGAGGACACAGGGTTTTAATAAACCACATGAGCGACAGACAGAAGCCCACTCTCAGAGGCCGCTGCCCACATTCCCAGCCGTTGTGCCAAGATTTTTCCTCACCACATGAACAGGTGGGCACCAGACTCAACTAATCACCTTAAACCACACCAGGTAGCTCATGAATACACAGGGTGCTGTGGGCCCATCAAGCAAAGTGGTGTTCACAAACCTGCTTTGTTTATGGAGTGGGCTACTCCTTTCCTATAAGCCCACTGTAATGCATTTCCAAAGCAAAGAGAAAGATTCAAATATAGTAACATCTAAAAAGTGTATCATTTAAAAAGTGCTGCTAAGATTCCTATCTTATTTAACATTATGTGAGTAGAGACTGGGAGCTTGGTCATGAGGTATGAGAATATAAAGACAGAGGGATGAAAGAAAGGTAAAAAGAGAGCAAAAATTCATTCAGACTTTAAAAAGAGCATGTAAATGTCCTCCAAAATAATAGTTGGGATATACTCTCTAAGACTAAACTAAAAACAAAAAGGAAATGCTTTTGAAACAATTAGAAGAACATTTGCCTACTACCAAGCACATACCTGTAAACAGCTACTTTTCCTGTGCCGAATGCACCCACAATTAAATCTAAAAAAGACAAGAACACAAAACACATGCACACATTTTATAGAAACAACCCAAGTACGTAATCATGCATCATATATAGAGCATCCTGAAATGCTGACTGTGCAGGAGTGAGAGTCATAAAATAAGATTAGCAAATTGTACCTTTCTCAAGACATTTTTGAAAGAATATTGGAACTTCTCTTTAACTCACTATGATACATAAACCAGTAAGTTTCAAACCCTTGGGACTTAGGAAGGCCAACTTTCTAGAAATGCTTAAGAAACTCATCATAACACTATTTCTCTTATCCTCTAGACTCAAGGTACACATCTTAAAGCAAGCAAAAGAAAAAAAATACATGCTTAGTGCCTACTCTACACAGTCTTGTTACACATATTGTTTCATCATTCCCCTGCCATCAGTGACCCTATGAAGCAAGTATTACCCATGAAGTGGGACATTTTGACTGTGGTTTTGATACAACCATTTGTTCTTCACAAATGCTGTTGATGGTGAGTATACTTTTGGCAAAGTGATCAGTATATGAAATAAATGACATCATTATAATGATCTTTGATAACAATGATAATGATAAACAGCACATATTGCACACTACTCTAGATAAAAAGCACATTGGACACAGGAATTCTTCTAAATGATTTACTTTAATTGATTCCTAACAAGAAGTTAGAAAATCTCTGTTATTAGCACAGTTTTGCAGATGAGCAAGTTGAGGCTTAAAGAGGTTAATCTATAAATTCATTAAAGTTCACACAAGTAGGTAAGAGGTGGAGCTGGGTTAGTCAGTGCTGGGCAACACAGAAAGAAATCTTAGACTATCTGAGGGGCAATGCTCACAATGATCTTAGTGATTGCCTAATAAATAGGTCAAACTGTATGTTTTTCTTAATCTAACGTATAATGATTTTTCTTGGTGGATGCAACCAAATAAAAACAAAAATGGCAAAGGCTAAATCTGCAGAGTAAAATTTAGATGTAAATGTGAGAAAACTAGACTTGGTAGAAGTAACAGAAGAAAAATTAAAACAACTGAAATATAGTTGGTTAATTCTAGTTGAACAGAAATGAAAATGAAAAAAAAAGGTGGGGGGGGGCGACTTATTTGGCCACTCCATATGGAAAGCCAGTTAAAGATAAATTGGTTTAATGAAGTTTGCACAGGACAATGATTTGTAGCCACATTCCCTCGGCACTCACCCTTCCCATACCCAGGAACAGTGTCAGACTGCAAGCAGCTATGATTATCCTTGGAGGGCTGTAAGTGCCCCTGGCCACAGCCCTCAGCCAACAATGGATGGGAATGGGACAACCGTTTCATTTTACCCTTCAAGTGGGATGATTCTGAGGCATGTTCTTCCCTGTCTCTTAGATTTCCCCAGCTTTAGTGGCCCACTGTGTCAACCTACTTCACAACCATCTTTGATTGCATCCTTCCTATCCATGTCTCTCTTCCCTACTCTCTTAGCAACATTTCTTTGGACCATTTCTTAAATAAACTGCTTGTTTTCTAATCCTGTGTTAATGCCTTCTCTGGAGGAGCCCAACCTAAGACACAGTAATTCTTGTTAAAAATTATTTTTCAAAAAGTGGATTCATATCTTCAGTGTTAAGAACACAGTCGAATGTCTTATGTTTTAAAGATACAGACTCAGATTCAGATAATAGGATTAGATCCCAAAGTTCCCTATTTAAAAAGATGTGCATGCTAATATTCAAATGCTTCAAAAGAGATCTTTATTCATGAGATTGAAGAACACTTTAAGAAAAGGGCTACAAACTTGGTCAACTCTGGCTCATGGAATTAAGTAGTCTTTTCCAAGGGTTCAGGTCTTTGAAGTGAGAAGCCAAAGTTTCTAGGTCTACAAATTTTTAAAGTTATATCAAAATTTCAACTTTTTAGACTATGTTCACATTTATATTTTGTTACATTACATTCACCTCTTCCAACATATCAGAGGAAAAAGAACTACTGATCTGAAGAAATGTGAATTGTTCCTCTTGTGTAATCACAGATTCAAATATTTAGACAAGTGTGACACAGGTGGACCTCAGCCTGATCCACATGTGTTGACATGACACCAGACAGGAGAGTTCTGTTATGAAATGGATTCAAGAGGAATTATGTGTTTTGTTTTTGCTCCAAATAAGGTAAAATACTTATGCATTATGGTTAAACAGCTTTATATGCATTTTATAAATGCATATAAAAAACAGGTGAATTTTAAGAGTTGACTCTCTGGAAATGACAAAGAAAACAAGACTGTAAGCCTTTTCAGGGCAGGAATCTTTCTGTATATCACAAACATTTTATGGAATGGTATGGGTTGAAATAAATGAAGAAAGAAACCATTGCTGCATCCATAATGCCAGGTGCAGTGCCAGATACAGAGCAGAGGCTTTATAAATGCTTGTGAAATAGGGGGATAAGTAATAATAGATAATACACTAAAGATGAGAAGGATGAAAGAGATGAGACAGTTATTAAAACAGGCTGATGTAAACCACAGTTAAATTTTGCTGGACTGTGTGTGTGCACATGTATGTATGCACACATGCAAAAAGGCTTCAAATACTAGAAAACCCCAGAAAATAATACACAAGCTGCCTCATGACTAGATCATTACAGTTGAGGAGTTCAGAGACCCCTTCTGATGGTAATGAACAAGAGGTTTTATCCTTTAGGAACTTTGATTCTTATGTCTTAGGGTGGGAATTTTCCTACACTGGAAAAATAACTGGCAGAATAGGCTACAATTTTCTTCCTGAGAATGTGGCCACAGTTACTCAGAGACCAAGAAAACAGTTATCTACCACAAAAGTATGTTTGTATTTTGAGACACCACCTTGGTATTGTGCCTGCTGGGAAAGGCGAGAAGCATTTGTGCTCAGACCTTAACATTCTCAGATCTCTCTAGGGGAAGAATTGATCTCATTATGTTCCCAACCAATTTATCCTTCCAAAATATGTGATTTGTTTTAATAAGTACTATGTGGTTTTCATATTTATATATATAGTTATATATATGATTGATATATACAAATAATATTTGTGTATTTACATACATGTATGTATATAGGTATATACACATACACGTATATGTATATGCAGATATGTATATGTATCTGCATATACATATGTATATACATAATGTATTTTTTAAATCCTGCATAATTCTGTCATGCTTAGGAACTTAAGAGATAATCTGAGGACAAAATAATTTTGGTGCTGGTATTTGAATTCAAATTCTGCAAACTTTCTCCCTCACTTTGAGACAACATGTCTTATACCATTATCTAATGTTTACTTTCCTTTCTTTTGGAAACTTCCTAAAGGCAGATTCTGAAAAAACAAACAAGAAATTTTGCCTTTCTTTATACATAGACACTTAGTCATTTGTTTTCTTTCCTTAAAGAAATAGCTGGCAACTAAAATTGGTACTTTTCCCTTAATCAAAACCTGTTCTCAAAATGCTGGAGTCCTTCGTTATCACCTCACATTGCCTGAGAAACATAGTTTATTTTCCTTTTGGCTTTTGATAGAACAACTGAGTATTTTTAAGGATACCAAGAGGGGACATTAGCATGAATGCAGGATCAGTTGGCAAGAAAAAATGACCCTAAAAATGTGAGGTCATAGGAGATGTATTACACCTCCGTTTAATATTTTTTTCTCCAAAATTGTTATTTTTAAATGAAGAAGAAATGAGCCAAGCTTTTAAAGTGGTACTTGGTTGATAGAGTCTGATTTCATTAATCTATGAAGGAAATTTTAGAGTTGGAAGTTCTAAGTGAAAACATCAGCCTTGTTTTGAGTGTGGATTTGAACTTTGGGCTTAGGTGGGCAGGGTGCTGGGAGGAGAGAAAAAGTGGAAACTTCCTAGAAGAAGGAGGGCAGACAGGAAGGAAAGGACAACAGGAAGAGCAGTGACAGCACTAGGTTAAAGAATCACCAGAGTCATTTCACAGAAGTCTCCATGGCCACCCAACCACCACTATTTCGTAAGCTGTGAGCCTTCTGATCTACTACCTTCTTGCTTTTTCATCTTGTAATACACTGAGGCTGAAGCCTGTTGCTGACAATGCCATTGGAAAATTTTATTTTGGAATTAAAAAACATTTACTGTTTTAGAATACTTCTGGACAATGAGCATTGCCATAAAGAATTTCCAAATAAATGAGAAACATGGGAATGTACAACTAACAGTTGTATGAAAAGATTATAATTGCTCAAAAGGGATGCTCTCCTTAAATGTGACCAAAAACAATGTAGAACACAAATGAATTTTAAAGTGTAAACCTCTTTTGCAAAAAAGTCAGAGCAGGGCCAAATGAGAAGTGAAAGAATCAGGAAAGATGTTTATAATATATCTGCCTGATCAAATGTGATTATTTTTCAGTGCTTACATGAATGCCTGGCACCTAGTAAAAAAATAAATAGTCATCATTATTATTGACTTTAATTCATAACAGGCTTGCACAAATGAATAATGAAACCATAAACATTCTAATAAAAAGGTTATAAATAGGCAGTTCACATAAAAATAAATAGCTGTGACCAATAAATATATGAAAACATATTCAACCTCATTAATCATCAAGGGAATAGAAATGGAAGGAAAAATCAGATATCATTTTGACCTTCCAAATTGGGAAAGATGAAAAGATTAGTCCTAGACAGTGTTGGGTAGAGAACAAAGGACCAAGAACTCAGTGCGCTGTTTGTGGGATTATACTTTGGCACAGTTATCTTGGAAGGTAGTTTGTTGATATGTCTGACAATGCAAACCTTTGACCAGCCAGCATTTGCACTTCTAGGAATTTTTCCTGAGGATATACTGAACAATTGTGCAATGTATCAAATAAAAGCTAACATTATAAATGTTTTAAATATATGAATTCCTTTGTTATAAGAACCCATGAGATGGATGCTTTAATTATTCCCATTTAAAATGAGAAAAATGAGGTCCATAGAAGCTAAATACAGTAGGTGGCAAGGCCA